TCATTATTTACTTTGAAAACTTTACGCTTTTTGATATATTATATGAGAATTTTAAGTAATTAGTCACTCTCCTAGGGAGTTATTGTAAAACATTAGATAAAATAGTTTTTTAAATCTTTCTTAAACTTCATGATGTACAAATATTCTTTCTACAATTTATGTATTTAAATTATTTCTCAGAAAATTAATATACCCAAAAGCGGTATATTATTTTATCTAGATGAAATATTAATTTTACTAACAATGCGCATTAAACGTTCGGATTAATAGTCTTTATCTGTTAAAAACTATTCTTACTGATTCCTTTTTTCTTTTTATACTATCTGTAGGGGCGTATTTATAGAGGGGCGAGTAGGGAAATTTTCTGATCCCTAATAATTTTTATGCTTAGGCATATTTTTTATTATATTAGATGAACATAAATAATCATTTGTAATGTATTTTTATCAATCACATAAATAATCAATTACAAATACTTTTTATCAACAACTTTATTATCTGATTTCCGATCGTAAGTATTTTAACTACTCTGGTTAGTGCTAAAGGCGGATACAGAATATTTTGAATGATGTAAGATAATTAACTAGAGGGGTTAACATTATTATAACTAAAAAAAATTTAGGTCTTAAAAATATTGCGATTCTTGTAATGATCATCCAAATTATCTCAAACAATATATTTAATGATTAGAATAAATTAATTTCCTGAGCTGATAAACAGCGATGCGGGTCGAATAACCCTTTATGCTAACACTATTAATATGTCATGCTACTGTAGATGCAAATATAATGTTGTTTTTAATATATTTTTATAAGTTGTTGTTTAAAACTAAAAGTTATAGTAAAATTAAAAAATTTTATTTGCTATAAAGAACTTCTTATGGACTACTCATTATTTAATATTTTCTATACATTATTATTAAAAAAAAAAAAAGTTAACATGTCTTGATTATTGTTAATTTCAATTCGCCATTTTTTTTCAGCCGACGTTAGCGACGTACAGTTGCCGAGTCAGTAAAACTTGTGTAATACGCGCTTGGAGTTCCAACCCGCGTATGGCAAGGAATTTTTTGCATTTTTTTCTTAATTCTATTAAAGTTAGGATAAATTTTCAGCTCCTTTGTTTTTTATCTCATTTAGATTCAATTACTTCAATAAAGATAAGGATCCCATTACTGTAGCGCCACTCGCGAGAAGAAATTTTTTATTCATATTAAAATTATTTTATTATATTTTAAGTTTTAGCTTCGATGCAAAGATGAGAAGATATTTTTTTGTGACTATCATTTATTTTCTCTGCTTTAACTTGACCTACTTTTTTCAACGAAACGTCAAATGACTACAATTCGTATCTAGTTGAAGATATTACCCTCAAAAATTGAAAAAACATTCTAATTTATCAATGAAACAGTTACTTATACCATGTTCTCCATACAGACAATTAAAATCATTAATTTCTAATGTTTTCAAAGTATTTATTGACGAATCAAATACATTAGAAGAAATAAGAAATCTATTTAAAGTGCGAAAAAAAAAATTTTTATCAAAATTTTAGTACTACTTAGTATATTTTTCATATAAAACTATAAATTGAAAGCTGCTCCCTAAACCCTAAAATCATAGATACGCCACTGAAAAACTGTATGTTAGTTGGACTTTATTAATATCTACACTTATTATTTTAATAACTACTGTTACAAATTGTTTTATTTAAAAATAAAAACTACTGAAGTCGTATATATTATTTCAATTAATTGGCACATAGAAATAATTTTTCATTAATTTAAGAAAGAATGAGGTGGTCGTGCAACCACTTCTGGATGATTTGGCATGGATTCACTCAATATATAATACATCTAACAATAATTGAATTAAAAATACCTTTCAATAAATGAATTTTTTTTTTTAATCGATTTTAAAATTTAAAATTCTTATATAAAAAAATTAAACGGTTCTATTTCAAAAATGCCTTTTCTGGATGTTATTTTTTATATTATTTTACCCTTTATCATTTTATTTTTATAATGTATACATAAGATTAATAAATATTAGGGTTATTTCGTATAAAAATAGTTATTTAATGAAGATTTAATTTTATTTTAATTAAAATTAAACAATCTATGGAAATATTTTGAATCTTATTTAATATTTTATTATTGATATAATTACATTTGATAGATTTTTCAACTAATTTAACTATAGATTTAATGACTTATATTTCAAAATACAGTTATTTAATCTTGTTTTTCAAAGTAAATACATAAAGTATAGTAATCACTTATTTTTAATTTAAAATAAAAAAAAACTTTTTTATAATTGACTAAAACAAATCTATTATAATGGGTGATATAAAGTTTAACTAGTGTATACAGCTATGATTTTTTTTACATTAAATTAAACAATAATCTTGTTTATTTTACAAACTTTGGCATTGAATCTTAGAAATTAAATTCATATAAATAGACATTCAAATCATAATTTGCTTTAGTTCGTGTTGGAAGTTTATGTAAATTTTGAGTTAGTGACGTAAAATAAAAAAAATCGGTATGAAATTTTAATATGTGATTATTTGTTTTTCTTTTATACAGTTCTATTAAGTATAACAGTTGTATTGGAAACATTTATATGTATTGTTTGTTTGATTTGGTGACATGAAATTGACCAAATTTATGCCAGTCATTATAACCGTACCCATAAAAATTTAGAAAAAAATCTTAATGGAATCGTTGTGACTGATACACTTAACGCTGAACATTAAATTAATTCAGTTAGTTTTAATTGCACCGTAATGATTTGTTTTCGTGAGTAATTTGAGAGTTATAGTTATAGTATGAGTTATAGTCAGTGATATAGTAAAAATTCATTAAGCCTATTTCTACGGACTTGCAGATTAAAAATAAAAAACTTACCAGGGACCAATGTATTCAAGTTGATGACGCTATTTTAGATGCTGTTATAGAAAAAGACAATTTACAAATACTTGGATGATATATGTGAAAACTCAGAGACGACACCATTACTTGATAACATGGTGGAACATTTTGACATAGAGGAACCTTGTACGCTGTTCGTAAACTCACTTCAATGAGCTATATTCATATAGGAACGTCTTTTGTAAACCTCAGCGATTTCTTGGTCGTGAAAAAATGATTATGCGATCAAAACATTTAAACATCGTGAATCGATTGATGGAGTGATACTCAATTAAAGTTTATTTATTCCTAATAGAAATTTAGTATTTGTTTATAAACATCTAACTAACATAAACTTACATGGTGAGAAAAATAAAATCATGTTGGACTTATTGAAGATACTACTGAAAATTCTCAACGCTCAGCATTCGCTCAGTCTATTACAAGTGTGTTGGAGTTTGACGACAATACATGTAATATGTCTCAGCCTGAATATTCAGAAAAATTTGAAACTGTACACGTCTATTCTAAGCTCGTTGTGATTACATCCAACTCTGGTGCTTATATTTCAACAATCAACGATATGAGGTTGATTAACTCTGTCAACGAAGAGAATAATAAACTGCTTGTTTGTCCCATTTATGGAGATACGACGGGTTGATTTCATAAACGAGATTTTCTGTAGCTTCGGCCAGACTATTTTCTTATATTTAAAGACTATGAGCTATCATATGCTGTAGTAACTTAAAAACATAATGACTCAGTTAGCGCAGCATTACTAAGTATATGTTATTAACTTAATAATGGACAGCAAGTATTTGTCGACAGATGCTTGGGATGTGGGGGATCTTACTGGTCCGGGGGTTCCGGCTGTGCTAGGGAGGTGGGACAGAAGAGGAACAGGTCCATCTACCTAATACGAGTACGGACGGTGTGCATCCAGTAATCTCGTTGCGCCTATTGCGTAGAGCTAACAAAAAAGGTGGTAGTTTTATATCCCAAGATGTATTCTCCTATATTTATTGACGATGAGCTATGATATGCTGTAGTAACTTAAAAACATAATGACTCAATTAGCACAGCTTTTCTAAGTAAATGTTATTAGCTTGATAATGGACAGCAGGTATTTGTCGATAGATCATTTACGCCGTTAACCGAGTTGGTCGTGCAATTAATTCACGCAGATGACAATGAAATCCGTTGGCTCTTTGACTTATACGCCTACAAAAAGCTGCAAAACTGATGTTTCTACGCCTAAAATATACTGTTCGGTAAACTGTACTGATGAAATAAATAACACACTGTTTGTTTATTCCATTGATAAAGACAACCTACGAAGAATCACAATCAATAATTTTGGATAAATAATTTCCCCATATTTATAGAACATGATCTCAATACAATACTTAACTTAAATGTAGCGGCCTGTTAACGAAGCGTTACAAAATAATTAGTATTGACTCGGAAATCATAAGTTTACATATACGTTAGTATGTGTGGCCAATATAGAGATGCCCTTTTAATGATTAGTTAGAAAAAAAATATTTTCTATACTTAAGATATAATTTAAAAAGTTTTTATCACTTCTTTGAACGTTACTACTTTCAACGTATTTAATTTTTTAAGTTTTAAAATATCTGTTGTAATTATTCACTGTTTTAAATTTATTTTGGTTTATCTTTCAAAGAAATTTATGAATTAGTTTTTCATTTAAAAACTCATTTTTCTTTTATTTATAAAATTAAAAAAAATATCAATGTTACATTTTTTTTCGTCTGTTATAAACTTTATATATTGTCATTAGTTATAAGTTTGGTGGTGTAATAAAAAGAATTGTATAAATTGTACATATTACTTGGGTACGTTTTTTTATTTTCATAGAATAAACTAAATTATCGTAATAGTTTACGAATAACAGTAAGATGTGATTATTTTGATAGTCATTGAGTGTAGTTTTTGAAATATGAAGACTCCAAATAAATACATAAAAAATAATTGACAAAAAATTAGTTTTAGTTAATCTAAATTAACATTTGTTCATTTCCAAATAGTTTTTTCATAGTTTAAATTTAAAAATCCATTTTTACAGAGAAAATACAGAATTTTGGGGCGAGTCTGTTGATGGTTGGCTGCAAAATGAAATGCGATATTCAATCGGAGTAACTATTGTTGTGTGTATTGCGTACATAACTGTATTTGTAATTGGTTTTATTGGAAACACATCAGTGGTGTTAGTAATATACAAGAATGTAAGAATGCAGTCATCTCCTACTAACATATTCATTGTTAACTTGGCCGTGGCTGATTTGCTTGTTGTTGTAGTTTGCATACCATTTACGTTAATTAGCAGCATTACAACAGGTACGTTAATTTGAAGTTGCTTAGACGGTTAAAATATATTATTTACAGAATAAAACATAATTGTAATTGAAAATAAATGACGAAACTATATTTTCGTTTATAAATTAGATCCACTCAAGTTAAATTAATTAATTAGATTAACTGTTATTGAATAACATTCATTTTAAAAGAATTGTTATAATATATTAGAGTATTAAAATTGATAAATCTTAAGAATAGCTCTCAACAAGAATAATATAATCTTATTACCGCAGCATTACCCAATCGAAATTAAATACGTTGTTTTTTACTTATTAATAATTAAAAAGATAAGTAATTGCTTAACTCTGTTATAAAAAAATATATTCTTTTTTTAGAAATATATATGTTATTTATTACGTGTACAAATAATTTTTTTCTGTATAATATATTTAATACATAAGTAATTTAATAAGAAGACATGAATATTTTATTTTTGTCATATTATTATGTTATGATCTGTACTGTAATTTCAAATCACCTTTAAAATACGATTTAAAAAAAGACTATAGAAGTAAAATTATTTGTAGTATTATTATTGTTCATTCATCGCGTGTAAATACTGTTATCAAATACAACACTAAATTAAAATTTTTATTTGTTATGTGTAAATTAATTTTTTTCGGAAATCGTTCAAATGGACCAATGTGCCTAATCTCCAAAAACTTAAGGTAGTTTTTGAACTTAAAAGTAAGCTAAAAAAAGAAAAAACTCGTAAAAAAAGTTCATGGAATAAGATTGCACTTCAATTTGTAAACCTTCTCTATTTTTTTAAACTATACTGTGCTCTAAAAATATTTAAATCCTCTTTTCCTTTGAATATTTCCTTGAAATCCATATAATTTAGTAAGTTTTTAAAATGCGCCGTGTCACGTATTTCTAGAATAAGAATTTTAATCAGTTCGAAAAAAGTTAAGTCTCAAAACTTTTCTTATCTATTTTTAAACAGGCGTATGGGTTATGTCAATGAGACTATTTGAGTCGATTTAAAATTGCACGGAGTGTTCGCTATTAACATAATATTGCTTTACATTGGTATTATGAGTATGTTTTATCAGTAATACATAGTGTAATAAATATTTTCTAAATATTCATATGAAAGATAAATCTAATGGAACTTGAAGTTTGTCATGTGACGGTCAAAGGGCGAACGAAGATAAATTGTTTGCTCCCGGCTAGTAAAATCTGTAATTTCCTCATTCTTCTTTTTCCGTTAGTTTATATTAAACATAGTAACTCATGTCATCTTTAAACAAGAAAAAGCCGTTTATCATTATATACTATTTAGCGACGTACTAGACAAATTTAATTTGTTTATTTCCGTGTAGGTAATATCAACATTATGTGATTGTACAATCTTAATTATTACAAACCATTTGTCATTTATCAACTTTTCGTTCGCATATTTATTATATCACATACTATTATAGATGTAAACAACTTTGAGTATCTTTGTTAAAAAAAAAAAAAGTAATTAAAAAAAAAAATAATTCTAATAAAAAAAGTTGGTATTATTATTATTATTTTTTTTTTTTTTCGTAATTTCTCAATTAATAAAATTAATGTACTAATAATGCTGCTTAATTAAAAATATTTTATTTTTCTTGAATAATTTACTGATATTTTATTATTATGCACGTAAATATAAAAAAATGACACTAAAAATTATACCAACATATAAAAAGAAACTCCTTCATTATTAAGTTTACACAGACCTTTTATACTAGTCCAAATAACTGTCATCACTTATAACAGACTTAAAGTGTTTTGATTTTAAAAAAAATTTAGTAAAAAATAAGATATTTAAGTAATTTTAAATAAATATATTATAAGAAAATCTTAATTCCGTGTAACAAAATACAATTATCAACAAAATATAATTTAATTAATCTTCATAAAACTTATATCATACATGTTATTAATTTTTTTATTCAAACATATGATAATTTGTATTAAAAGCGTTATAAAATATAAGAATATTTTTTAGTTATTTATGTCTAAGATTACATTAAATCTTTTTTGGATACTAAATTCCAGAAGTTTATTGGTGCCACAACTAACACGTTGAGAATTCAACAAACATGATAAAGTTCATATACGTGATTTGAAATAAAACTTGTTTATAGAAATTACTTTAGCTTGTTCCTTGCAGAGTATTTCATCTATCACTGGTAGAATAAATTGGGATATTGTTGTGAGACATTTAACAAAAAACTTGTGCCATATAAAGGTCAGTTTTTTACAAAAATGTAAGACCCGAAAAGCAAACATTGTTCAACGTGCTTTAGCACTAGACAAAAATTATTAAAATTCCAAGAGAGAATAATAAACACTACTGAATAATTTACATTGTTTAAGTTGGCAATATCATTATTTACAATTTAATTTATTTTAGCTTCGATGCGAAACTAAGAAGGTATTACTTTTACTATAATGTGTTTTTTATTTTTTATTTTTTTTTTTTGTATCTGTATACGCTCAATCTCAACTCTCGCTGGACCGATTTTGATGAAAAATATGTCAAAAGATCACAAATCGTATTTAGTCAAAGACATTACCCTCAAAATTTGAAAAAACTCTCTCGTTCCCCGTAAACGGGGGAAATTCCCCAAAAAATTACAAATTTAAAAATCGCTAATTTTCGATATTTTTTCAATTTTTTTTTACTTAAAATTGCCATAACTTTTATTAAAAAAACCGAATGATTATATATATTTTTTTTTATAGATACCATAGGTATTTACCTATCATTTTATATATTTTTGTGAACATTTGACCCTTAACCAGCACACAGGAAGGGGTTTCAAAATGATAACTTTTTTAAAAAATTAACTTTTTCAACTTAACTTTGAAAATGAAAAATACATCTTAAATTAAAGCTTATGTAATATACTTTCTTGTGAAAAAAAAACTTTATTTTTTCTTCACGCTTAATATGATTGTCGTATGCTATTTTTGTGTTAAAATTCTCGATATCATATTTTACATTTTTAACTTTATAATGTTATAACATTTTGAAAAATGTATGGAACAACACAATATTTTTATAAGAAATAATATTTATTATAGTTAATTTCATTAGAAATCTCATGCAAAAATCCTGGTCGCCCTTCTTCTCTTTGACTTATCAAAAATAGTCTATCTTCATCTATTTTTATAAGGCTTAAAGCATCAGTATGTGCAATATCAAACAAGTTTTTAACTTTAATGTAAAAGCATCTACTTTTTCTTTGTGGCTAACTGTAATTCGACCAGCGTGTTTTTGTAGAAGTCGCCAATTTATGTTAGTCAAATGAAAATAACACAAATATGCTTATCTTTAATGATAATACAATTGGAACTATCTTAAAGCAATTCAGTAAACCAAAATTGATACAATAATACGGCAAAATGTAATAATACAATAAATTTTGTTAGGTTTGTAATTAATCATTAATTAACTGTCCATAAAATAATAAATCTAACATAATTATCGTATTTGGCATAAAAAATTTAACTTTTAGAACTTTTTTTTAAACGAATATGCGTTTTCCAAAGAATAAAATGAAAATAAATAAGTAAAAATCAACAAAATCCGTTATAACATATTTTTAAGACTTTTACATGTTTTTTACTGTATGTAGTGTTTTTGTGGGCTATTTATTAAGAAAACTACATTGAAGTTATTATTTTTGAATTTCTTGTAAAATTTGCTTGATTTGAGTTTTATTTTCATAATTCTAAGTTAAGCAAAAAAAAGTTATTAGACATAGATCAGTTATTTCTATTAATTTTGCCTCTTCAACTCAACATAATAGACCTGGATGTACGGGTTATCCTATATGGATCGGTCCCAAATTTTGCACAGCTCATTTTTTTGACTATTAAAAAAAAAATTAAGGAGTAGCGTAAAAAAAAAAAATACATTCAAAATAGAGGGCTACCCTTCTCCTGTGTATACATATGATGATAATGTGTATACATTACAAACTTGGCATTAATACCATGATAAGAAATTAGATAAGGCAATTATTACTTATCACTCTCATTCAAAAGTATAAGTCATTTTCATGGAAAAAGTTACACACCTCCAAATTATAGTAATCATGAAAAGATAGCGTTTTCTTCTGTCCTTTTCTCAATACGTATTTCAATGTTTAATACCGTAAAATAATACATGAAAATTTAAATTTTCACAAACTTCAAAACGCTACAGAATATTTACTACTGAATATTAATAAGATATTTTTTTACTAAAATTTTTCTTAAATTCTACTCTACAAAATAGCTATCTTAGATTTTTTTTTTACATTTTATTTAAAATTTAAAAATAATTAATATTTTTAATAAAATGTAAAAAAATTAATTATTGAGATATAGCTATGGACCTAACGTCTAACTTTTATTTAAAAAAAAAATCAACTAAAAATATTAACTGGATCAAAAGTTATTTAAGTTGTCAGTGAGTGGTGGGCCACTCTGTATTATGTACTATCTGTTAAAGAAAATTGCCTCGATAACTTTTCTTCTATGAGTAAATGGCTGCCATAGTTAAAAAAAAATGCTATTTTTGTTTTTAAATTTGGTGTGTTTTTTTTGAAAAATGTGTGGATCTAACAATGTTTTTATGTATACTTTATGTACCTTTGTATACTCTTTCAATCCATATGCTTTCATTATATCATATTTCTAGGTTTTCTATAAATATTTACATTATTTTTTCTCTTTCTAAATTATATAAACATTTAATATACATGTGCAACTAATGTTTTACTATTTAAAAAAATGTTTTTTTATTAAAAATCATCAAGGTAACATAAAAATAAACATGTACTTTTTTATAATAACAGAATTATAAAATACTCATTTGTTATAAATAAAAAGTTCTTATTAAAATTATCAATAATGTCACAGCTATTAGCTTAAAGAATGTATTAAAATAATTTTAATAAATAAATAATTATGGCTAGTAAATTGTGTGAATGATATTAATATTGTTATAAAATTTTGTTTTAATTTTATATCTTTTAAAATGTATATTTTATTAGTAATATTTTAAATGGTATCAAAATTAGTTGAATATTTACTAAGTTATAAGACTTCAAAAAAAAAAAAATTTTTTGAAATTTAAATAGCATATAATTTGTTTGTTTTTTACGTATATCACTTTAATACCATACTTTAAATAAAATTCATAGACACAATTTTTGATTTTTCTTAGAAAGTGCTTGATATTTATTTAAACTAATATTAATTTTATGTTTCTGGTAATATTAAAATATGCGTTAATTACTATTAATAATAACCTGACTAATATAAAAAATGTAAATAATATATACAATTATAATCAGATAATATAAAATTAATTTCATTATTGAATGAGCTAATTCTGTTTAAGTAACCCCAATGTGCACTTATGATTTTATAAAAATTAACTAAATGTATTTTTAGAGTGGCGGTTGGGATTAACAATTTGCAAACTGGTGCCATACTTTCAAGGAGTTTCTGTCAATGCATCGATAAATTTTCTGGTGGCGATATCAGTGGAGCGATGCATGTCTATATGTTTTCCGATGAATCCAGTGGGTAAAGGCATTTGCAAACGAGCTGTTTTCGTTGTATGGATAATATCTCTTATAATTACTATTCCCTGGGCACTGTATTTTGATGTGCAACTCATGGAAGAAGGAAGTGATCGCCAAGTAATTCTATTTTAGCCATTTTATTATAATTGATATTTATTGAGTATACAATAAAATTTGATCGCTCGAGACTAATATTGTTTATGATTATAATTAATGTTAAACTATTAATAATATTTGACTCGAAAAGCCACAAAATATTTCTAAAAAATCGCGGATACGTTGATTTCGGGAATAGTGTTACCATTATCAACGTCAAACACATACTTAAAGATATCTAAATGTTCTTAGTAAATGTTAAAAAAGTAAATTAAAGTCAAGTTACTTTAATCAATGCACTAAAACTTAAACTGAACACGTTAAACAAGCAACTAATGATAATTTTATTTACAGATATGTGTGGAATCATGGCCAACTCCGGAATATGGAAACTGGTACTATGTGTTTGCAAATCTGTTGATGTGTTATATTTTGCCTTTGTCAATAATCGCAGTGTGTTACTTGTTCATTTGGTTAAAAGTTAGCTGTCGAAAAGTACCCGGTGAGCCAATGCACAACAGTGCTAGCATGGTACAAAGGTCTAAAATGAAGGTGATTACAATGATTCTGTATGTGGTGGTGTTGTTTGCAGTTTCATGGTTGCCACTGTACGTTGTATTCACTTGTATTAAATTTGTGCCCATGTCGCCAACTGTTCAGCGTTTCACTTTAGCAATACTACCAATAGCTCAATGGCTGGGTACTGCAAACTCGTCCATTAATCCGTTACTGTATGCTATATTCAATCATAGATTTAGGGACGGTTACAAAGCGCTTCTCTCCGGCAGAATGTGCCAAGCGTTTGACTATAGTAATTCAATGAAGTACTTCAACAACAAAGCGGGTATAGTACTGAAACGAAAGAAAAGACTGAAGGCAAATCGAAAGAAACCAATTTTGAGACGCACCATCGGTGCAATATATGTTCATAGAGACGACGGAGAACTGTCCAGTGTCGTCGACGCCATTGCTGACAAAGTGTCTGCAGCAAAGCCTAGATCTCTCTCTATGAAAGAATTTCATATGAACGAGGAATTCACAGAATCCATGTTACAGTTTTATTCAAAAAAATACGCCAAGTCATTTGTGTGATAATTGACTATGAACAGATCTAACGCTATGAAGTTTATATTCAACTGAGTTTTGCAAAGTTGTCCGACGACTGCACCATAAAAATCATAAGCATGTTATTAGAAATTATTAAGATTTCCAATGGGATATATTATATTATTTTATTAACAAAGCGAACTTGATGAGATATTCATGTTTTTATATTGATATAATTTAAACTTATGTATATAAAAACTAGTCCAATAAATTTTCAAATTCAAAAATAATTATCATAATGTATTTTGTAATGAATGTATATTTATTGTATTCGTAATAAAATGACGAGTAAAAAAAATAAATACGATCTTACAAAATAAAACATCTTTGGTAATATGTGCAGTAAAAATTTGGTTCATCAAAGATATAAAACAAGATATCGTCAAAGTAATACATTATGTCTAGTTAATACCATTATAAATTAAGAACTGTATTCATTCATACGAATTTCTGTAGCTAAATTTTTTAAAAACATTAGATCCAATAAATAAACAAGAAATGATTTAAGATAAATATAACATAATAACAATAAATGATTTAAATAAGTGAATATAACTTCACAAAAATTACATCATAATAAATATGAAAAGATACAAAATTCTTATTGAATTTTAAATTAATTAAATGAAAAAATAAATGTTCGCATCGAAAGTGTACTACAATCCTATTACCTAGATTTACTATGATTATTGTAAATGTAACGTATAAATGAAAATTATGATAATAGTAATGCATTATTTAAAATTTTCAATATAGAAATGGATGGTTTATAAGACATTTTGAAAGTATATATATACAGAGTGGCCCAGCACTCACTGACAACTTAAATAACTTTTTTGTTTAGTTTTATTGAATATTTTTTGTTCATTTTTTTTTAATATTTAATTAGCCACTTTTTAGAATAAATTTTAAGAAATAATTTGGTTAAAACATTTCTCATTAATGTTTTGTAGTTAATTTTCTGTAACATTTAAAATTTTTTAAAAATTCAAATTTATCTATATGTATTCAACAGTATCAAACGCTGGCTATGTTTTATAAAAAGGGACAAAAGTAAACACAATTTTTCAAAACTAAATATAATATGTGATTGGATTTTTCCAAGAAAATTGTTAACGTTGTAATGACCAGCTTTAATTCAAATAAAAACACAAACAATACCTATAACATAATAAGTAGTTTTATCTCTTTACTAGATAAATCTACTTATACTAACTAAAATTAGAATTTATTTATCACGAGTCAAGATTTATACTACACTAAGTATAAGGTCTATTATATTTACAAACTTGGTATTAATACAATGATAAGATATTTGATAAGGCAATTATTACTAATCACTCTCATTTAAATGCGTAAGTAATTTTCATTGAAAAAGTTACATACCTTCAAATTATAGTAATAATTAAAAGATAGTATTTTCTTCTGTGATTTTTTCAACATGTAGTTCAATGTTTAATACCATAAATAATACATGCAAATTCAAATTTTCACAAAGTTGAACGCCTGAGACAAAGGAAGCCGCGTCACCCGGTACAGGAGGACTTAAGGCGCTGGTTTATTAAAAAATATTATTTCTTATAAAAAAATTGTATTGATCCATATATTTTTCAAAATGTTATAACATTATAAAGTTAAAAATGTAAAATATGAAAACGAGAATTTTCACAACAAAATAACATTCGGTAGCCATTTTCACCGTGAAGACAAAATGAAGTCCGAAATTTTTTTTTTCATAATAAAGTATATTACATTAGCTTTAATTTAAGATATATATAAAAGTGTCAGTTTTTGGAACACTTTCAAAAGTTAAGTTGAAAAAGTTAATTTTTTGTGAAAAAATTGTCATTTTGAATCCCTCCCTGTGAGCAGGTAAAGGGTTAGATTTATAAAAAAAGTATACCAAATGGTTGGTAAAGACATTATGCATCTATAAAAAAAAAGAATTATATTGATTTGTTCATTTTTGAAAAAGTTATGGCAGTTTTAAGTAAAAAAAATTGAAAAAATTAGCGACTTTACCCNAATTATATTGATTTGTTCATTTTTGAAAAAGTTATGGCAGTTTTAAGTAAAAAAAATTGAAAAAATTAGCGACTTTACCCATTTCCGGGGAACGAAAGAAATTTTTTCAATTTTTGAGGTTAATGTCTTCAACTAGATACGATTTGAGATTTTTTGACGTATCGTTGAAAGAAATCGATTCGATGAGAGCTGAGAAAAAGTGGTAACACACAAAAAAAAAAAAAAATAAATAAATAAAAAAAACACATCATAGTAAAATTAATACCCTCTCAGCTTCGCATCGAAGCTAAAACATATATTTAAAATACTAAATTTGTACAAAATTGATTGGTAATAATACATAATTATGTATATATATATATTTATATAAAAACAATATGTGAGATGGAAAATGTTTATCAAATTAAAGAAATATTAATAATATATTGACTGAACTAGATGAAATTTTGATGTTTGAAGGATAATAGGTAATAAAAAAATGCATTAGCAAATCGTTTAAAATTGGTAAAATATTAAGAGAAAATTTTATAATTTATTTAGAATTTTAATTTATTTTATATACCTTGATAACCTTGGTTACTTATTGCGATTTGTTTTAATGAAAATTTGACTGAATTATGACATTTCGAGGAAGTAAAAAATTAATCATATAAAGGAATTATTTCTTACGAGAGACAAAAACAATTTTAATCAAATTAATAAATAAAATAACAAAGGTAACAATTGTGACTACAATATTATTGTAGTGACCTTCCGCGGTAGACGTCAATCGCACGAAATATTTACCACGTATTTGCGAGTAACCTGAAGAAGTGACCGTACGTTTGTACAATCAACACAATGGACAGTGTAAGCGGCAGCACAACCATCCAAACGTTGTGGGAGCTTATTAAACAGATGAACGCTTCGCGTATCGGATTATTTTTTTGTATAACAATCTTTTTGATTTTACTATATTTCACACAAACCGTCGACAGTAGCAGATATCAGATCGTAAACAGTAGAGACAACGATTGTGGCGGATACGACGATGCGGATGACATCGACAATTTAAAAAATAACTTGTTTGTAATAACTAATCGTTTGGACGCTCTCGATCGTAATTACATTACAACCGATGATTGTGTTTTTATATTGGAAAAACGTATCGAAACAGTAGAACGAGCGTGCATTTGAAATGTCAACGGGTGTTATTTAACCAAAATAGCTGACAAACGAAATTTGACTAATAATGTTTTAATTTTTTTTAATGATTTTCAAGATAGTATTATAAATATTACAAATGATATTGTACTTTGATAAAAAATAATTAATTATATTTATATGTGAAACTAAAAAATAAAAAAACCCAGCACAGGGGGGTCGCGGCACAGTGGTGACGTGGCATAGTTGGATCAAGTAAATGATATCTGACAGTGATTAAAATCACTATCAAAAATAAACGCTTCGATGCAAATCTTTAGATAGTGTTTAATTTTAAAAAAATTGGTGTTTTATTCCAAAAGCTACTTGATCTGCTGGTTCCTTATTAATATCTCGATTAAGATAAAGTATGTCGAATGAAAAAGGGTTTATTAAAAAATATTATTTCTCATAAAAAAATTGTGTGGATCCATAAACTTTTCAATAAGTTATAGCATTATAAAGTTAAATATAATATAAATAATAAAATCGAGAATTTTCACACGAAAATAGCATTCGGTAGCCATTTTCGCCGTGAAGACAAGTCCAGAGGTCAAATTTTTTTTTTTCAAATTAAAGTATATTACATTAGCTTTAATTTAAGATATATATAAAAGTGTCAGACCTTCCGGAACATTTTCAAAAGTTAAGTTGAAAAAGTTAATTTTTTGTGAAAAAGTTGTCATTTTAAATCCCCCCCTGTGGGCAGAAAAAAGGTCAAATTTACAAAAAAAATATACCAAATAATAGGTAAAGACATCAAGCATCTATAAAAAAAAAAAATTATATTGATATGTTCATTTTTGAAAAAGTTGCGGCAGTTTTTAGTAAAAAAAATTTAAAAAATTTCGAAAATTAGCGTTTTTTAAATTTGTAATTTTTTTGGAGGTTTCCCCCATTTACAGTGAACGAGGGAAATTTTTTCAATTTTTAAGGGTAATGTCTTCGACTAGATACGATTTGTGATCTTTTGACGTATCGTTGAAAGAAATCCGTTCGGTAAGAGCTGAGAAAAAGTGGTAACAGACACAAAAAAAAAAAAACACATCTTAGTAAAACCAATACCTTCTCAGCTTCGCATCGAAGCTAAAACAACTCATTTCAATATGTAAACAAATTTACTATACTATACAATAATACATTTTTCAAAAATTTAAGAGAGTTGTAGTATTTACACGCGTTGAATGAAATCTACAAAAAAAAAAATTAGACCATGTGTGACTTTATTAGCTTTAGTGTCCACACAAAATTAATTTGCTTAGTTTAATCATTCCACTGTTTTCGACTGTTGTTTGGTTATACGTTTAGTATTTGATCAAAAATGGATAGTGGAAATGAAACGTGTAAGGCGTATGAAAATTGTCTCAATGAAAATTCAGGTAAGAAATTAAAACCGTATGTTATGACAATCGAGACTAATTTTACGTGAAATTACTTTTCAATTCCTCTTGTTTATATTGATATAGGATATGATATTTGTGGATTTTATCGTTCGACGTTTAATGACCAGAAGCATAGAATTAAACTCTCTAAACACAAATTGTTTGTCGATTATAAGACTTTTGAAAACTGTCCAAAAAAATTGGAATCAAATATATCAACACTTTGTGATGCTTTGTGATGAAATTTTGTGATAGGTATGGGACTATATATTATTAAATGTATTTTTGTGATTCGTACATTTATTCAAATACTTTATTTATAAGTATATATAATTTTTAGGTAATGTACAAAATGATCAAATATTATGTTACTGCTGCAGTCAAGGTTTGAAAGATTGGAATGATGAAGACGATCCATGTACGTTGATTTCCTAGTTGTACACATACATTGTTCTGTAAGAGACAGTTATTTATCCAAAACAGTAAAATAACGAAATAAGACTACTATTATTTGTTATTTTGATTTTCATATAATTAATATAATGTTAATCTTATATATTATTGTAGTTTGAAAAAAAAATAAATGAAAATTTTTAATATTGTATCTTGTGTGTGTTATATGAAACTATATAAAAGGTACGGTACGGTGGGTAATAAATAAAAATACCAATTTTCAATTTAGTAAAAAATGTATTATACTACTACATTCATAATTTGCATAATCTATGAGAGTTGTTGTATTTACAAGCGTTCGTATCTACCAAAAAAAAAAAAATCAGAAACGTGTGACTTTATC